ATCTCACTAATCGCCAAAGGGTTGAAACAGGAACGCACACAACAGAGCACCACAGACAAACCACTTAACTCAGACTGACGCCAGCTCACTAACAGTCGCGGGAGACCCCCAGCTAACACCACCTAGCAGTACAACTCGTAACTACAAAGCATGCGCGCGCAACAGGTCGGTTCCAGTTATTTTTGGGTCCCCCCTCGTATATTTGCTTTCAGTGATGACATTTGTTGTTAATAATTTGGATAAGTTTCAAACCAATAACTCTGTATATGATTGGTACCAGAAGGAATGACCACTTTCATACACCTTCAACACATTTATCATCTGTCAGAGAGGGGTGTATTATTCAGGTGTCAAGCTATTTAACACTCTCCAATCAAACATCACAGTTTTAAAAAAATAATAAAAACGAATTTAGGTTTGTTTTATGAAATTATTTGCAAAGTAACGCATTTTACTCTATTGATGAATTTGTCGAGCATGCAAGGGGCTCAAAAGTTAAGAGTTAATAAATGGTCTGCATGTGTGAATTATACATTGTTGAGACTTGCTTGTTGTAAGTGTGGTAGTATGTATGATGTCTGCTTTTGTTATGAATTTTAATATTTCATAATTGTAACTATTTTAATGAAACGGCTTGCCAGTGTGTGTGTGTGTGTGTGTGTGTGTGTGGGGGGGGGATGGCAAGGCGTAAATTCGACTGTGGTTTTTCCACAACCCATGTGTGTTGTCCTGACAACTTGAGCTATCTGTGAGAGGCCTAATTATATATATTTTTGGACAAAGGATGAACGATGTATAGTCATCATGAATTTGTAATATGTGACATGTTTTATATCCAGCCCTACAGGAATATGATTGGATCCATGAAGTGAAAATAAATGTAAATGTAAATATTCTACTGTAGATGTAAGCAGCTGTTTCCAGCATTCTTTAAGTATACAAGAATCAAGCAAAAAGTATACATTGTTCTAAATAACATAAATATTGAATAGTACAACAGTAAGTAAAACATTTATAAAACAGTAAGGTTTTTGTAACAGCAAATGAAAAACTTTCTGAAACAAAGTAAGGAATATACGAACTTAATTCTATAGAGTAAAAGTTAATCCTTTTAAATTCTAGGGCTGTAAAACCGATTAGGATCTAAAGAGAAAAGGAAAATCACAAGTACAAAATTAAGTTCCATGATCACACACACTTTCCAGGAAATGGTTAGATAAAAAGGCCAAGTTATTACCGTGCTTAATTAATTAAGCACCATGCCATGAAAACTATGTTGGAGTGGATGTATGGCTCCACTATTCTTGAACTTGGCACTAGATGGAGTTTCAAGGAAATGGTGGCATAAGAAAATATTTACATGTAAAATGTGTAAATGTAGCACGACACACAGAAACAGAACTAGGGGATATCTGCTGATGGCGTGAACAGCTGTCAGAACAAGCTATTAAGCTGAAATTCTGAAGGAGGAACTGAAGCAGAAGAAAAACGGAATAGTGAAAATAAAAGATGATGAGGAGGTAGCAGATGAATATTAAATAACTCATTATTAAGGTTTTAGGTTAGGTCAACATCTGGTGACTGTCTTGCAGTGCTATCATTTTAGAGCCCCCCACAAACTGTTGAACTGTTCAGTTGGAAGTGTTGAATGCCCCTCTCATCAAGTCAGGCTACAGATATTTTGAATGCTACTGCAACCAACAAACATATAACATAAACACATTACATATATAACTTTTCCTAGATTACAGCATGTGCTACAAATAATGTTGTTGCTGTCCTCAGAAGAATGCACAAGCCTAGCACCAATTCAATCCAAATTCTCTTCAATTTTGGCCCTGTAACTGCTAAAATACTACCAAGAAACATGTAAATAATAAATAAATAATAACAATAAATTATATTGTATTAATTTTAAGTTTTATAGTAATGTTCTTTTTAGATTATGTTTATTAATTACACTGTATTAACTTTTTTATTTTATTATTTGTGTTAATGGAATAATGTACGTGATTTTAATTATGTAACTCATGTAATTTATTATATGTATCTGGACACATCTATTACCAAAGGGACTATTTCCACATCCTAGGTTTTTTACCTGTATGGATATATGGAAAATAAAGAAATTAATAAAAAAAAAATATTGTGACATGCTGAGCTATGAGCTCTCCCCCACCCCCCGCCAGCCGTGATGCGCCGAGCGAAGCCGAAGCGAGCCGATGTTAGCCGAGTCCTAGGATCCTGGTCGCTAGGCAACGCGAGTCAACAGCGGTGACGTCACCAAGTAGTAACAGCAGTTACTTCCGCTAGCGTTACTAGCAACACAGCACCAGGCAACAAGGGTGCCTATTACGTGGCCGTATTGTCCGATCGAGGCTACATAGGGAGCAGCGAAGGCTATTCACAGAGAGTTGTACTGAGTCAGTCAGTGAGTCCTGGAGCTACCTACGAGTCAGTCCGCGAGCTACCTCCGAGTTAGTTTCGAGTTAGCCAACAACCAGCCAGTTGTATTGCGGCATTTGGAGTGTACTATTTGTGATACTGCAGATAGCAGTAACCGTAAATCTGTAATTTGGGTGATTGTAAGTGCGAATGTGAAATAAAATTCGCTATATTAAATACTTCGTGAAGTTATTTGTCGCGTTATACGCCCAATACGCGACAATATTATGTGCCAGCTGACTCTTGCTTTGACTCCTGCTACTGGACTCAAATTAAATGACATTCACTCACTCAAGTCATGTCACTTCCTGTGTCAAATTCCATGTGCAGGCTACATATTAGAATAATTACTGTTCATGTATGTTAGTTACATGAAAAATGGTTCTGCAAGAAATGTAAGAAAATTCCATGTCTGTTATTGACAGAGAAAAATCAAATTAATCACACAGTGCTCACTAATGAGTGAACAGATAAAACCAGTGCTATGCTCATTACCCTCGGAAATCTTTTAACATGCCTTGCACAAGAGAATTGAGGTTTCTCAAGTTTCAGGTTTCCTTTATATCCAAAGATCTGAATAAAAACTCTTTATGGAGGTGTTAGGAATGTGTTTAATATTCATTCATTCATTATTGGAGGGGGTGGGTTTCCCTATGCATCGCGACCAGTTGTTGATCTATTGTACGTCCCCCTTTGATATTCTACCAGTTGCCATACCCTTCCAGTACTGGTGCTATCAGCCCCATTCAGCCAGCGAGTTCGGCCCCTCTACTGGCAGTGGTACCCGATACTTCCCCATCTACCGGAGGCACTGGAAACTACTTGGGCGGGAAACTTTTAACCTAAATTTGCTCAGAGGTCTCCTAGAAACATGAGGATCTTTTACGTGCTGTAAATCTACGACACGGGACCCACAGCTTAAAGTCCCTCCCAGAGGACTTGTTCCCTGAATTTTTCCGCCCTTAAAAATTCCATGACCTCCACCAGGTTTGAACCTGCGTACCTTGAGTCATGAGGTGGGAATGTTACCCCTAGACTACGGAGGCCGCTAATGTGTTTAATATGTTAAGGTCATATGTCAGTCCCACTAACAGTCCAAATCTCTCCAGTGGGAGGAGCATCTGGGTCTTCCACATGAGCAGTTCCACCATCTGCATGACATCCTAAAATGATCTTACTGTAGAATGAAGACTGGACACTAAGTATGGACTGTCTAATCATCTCCCAGACAAAGCAGTGAAAAACACTTTATGTACACTGCCATTCCTGGCCTTAGTGCTTGAAAGTGTTCATGCTGTCTTCCTATCTAATGGTATGATCTTTGAGAGTTCACTAACTTCCTGATATTTCAACAGACTGCACAAAATATTTAGCATTTCTTCAGCATGTTAGCTGTAGTTCCAAGTTGCTTTAACATAAATTAATGTACAATAGCAATATCTTTTCCTTATACAATACAGTACAATCCAGGAATGCAGGCTATGTGAATAGGGATGGGAGAAGTTTAACAAAAAGACACATCATTTTTACTTTTTACTTTTTCATATGCACTGTATGAGAAAGTAGTGTGATTGTAAGAAATACTGATCTAAGATTCTGACAGATTTACATGCTTTCAGCACCTTGAAGAAAACTTTCAGAATAGCAAGCCTTACATAATCAAACCTTGGACTTAATAATTAAGAGGAGTGAACAATTGAACTATATGCATACTATTATATTGAACTTAAATTTATTACCAGAAACAGTAAGAAAACTGACAAGCACGCAATTTTAAAAACACATGTTCATATTAATTGGCAAAAAGTAATACTCATATGAGACATTGGTTCAATATACACTCAATTATTTCTTCAGTTTCTGGAGTCATATGTTGTGCTTATGTGAGATACAGAGGGTTTTGCATTTATTGAACCTAGAAATCAACATAAATGCCAATACCTTGTGTTACTATCAACATACACACATAAGGAGACACCATACCAGGAAATTTAATTATAAAAATGTTATCTGTTGAAATTGAACATGAGGTAGAAAGCCAACTCTGTTCAGCTCTTAACAGATTCAGTGATCAATGACAACAGGTATCTTTCAACTGAATGTTCTTGCCTACTGCACTAAGAAAGTCTCACATCTTAGAACAGTAACTGAAATTCCATATTTTCTTCAAAAGGCATTATTCAACTACTGAAACACCTTCACAGACCACAGAAAAAGATTTTAGGAATCTGATGTGAGGACAATGATGCGGAATATTTCACATGAATTACAGGCATCAATGGCAAGAAATAGGCAGTGGATATGGCTTCATGGCACTTACCTGTGACACCTGAGTGATGATAAATACAGATGCTAATGTGATCAGAAAATAAGGGCCAGGAATAAGCCCACCAAGTGGCTTATACTCTGTGTCTAGATACTGTATTTTAATGAATCGTAAGCTGAAAATACAAATATAAAATTTTAATGTGCTTAAACACACAGAAAATCACACTAGAGGAATGCATGAATACATCAATTCTATCAAGAAAGACAAAGTTTGATAATGTTTTAAATTATTAAGAATACACGCCTCCCCATTTCTTATTCACTAACATTACTGCAAGAAGCATGAGTGTATTCTGTCTGGGGACTAACCAGAGCAGTGATGATTCTCCACTGTCATTTCTCACAACAAATTACACTTACCCTGTAGTCTCAGTAAAAGCTTATAATGGACACATATACTAGAGTGCAGTTTTGTTCAATGAAATGTTTTTCAGCTCTGCGGATACAGTATGGTGAAATCTACATTTTAGTTTCCATAATTTAAGGTTTTTCTCAGTTGAGTATTTAAAAACATCATACATCACGGAAACATTAAATGGAAATTTAAATGTAGTTAGACATAGGCAATAAACAGGTCTACAAGAAAGGCCTGAGGATACCTGAAACACACCCTTCTTTACCTAGGTATCATGCAGATAATTTTATGACACTGTATAAACTAGAGAAATTACTAGCACTGAATGATATGTATGAGCAATTATGATGTAGGGTGCAATGTAAGATGTAAATCCTTTAAGGTGCTTTCTGGCATTCAGATACTAAGAAAACTATTAAAAAATCTCAAGAGAGGTTGATCACCCAGCCAGATTTACTATTGGTAATGCCCAAAAACCAAACAGGAGTGGTATACATTCAATATACACCTTTACTATGCAAAACTAAGTTTTTCTTTAAAAGACATTTTCTTCAGAACATCTCCCTTATGTACTTCAGTGTAGATTTAGCAATGGCCTCATGGCACCACGTTATAATACACAACTGGTGCTCCAGAGGCCTCTCCTTATATAATTGAAACTTGCATGTCTCTAATTCTACAAATAAGCAATCAAATGCACTCTGCAAGAGGAAGACACACAGATGGAAACTAAATGTGTAGGGTCTTCCTTTATATATATATATATACAGTGTTTCATGACTTTAGGGCATAACTGCAGGAGGTGACTTCCTAGGTCTTTGTGATCAAAAAAGTTCATATAAACATGTGTCCGATTTGGACGGTTATGCAGTTATGACCGTTTTTTCATTCCCATACACGCCCTCGTGTGAACCGCGTCTATCATCTCACGGGTCGCTGTTCTTAGCCAGCTACAGACAGAGCGTTCTCGTTATCTCGACACTTGAGAGGTACCTAAGGCATGGTGGGTTGGTATGTACCCACACGGTTCACAACTGAATGGAAGCCCGTGTTGCGGCCGGTGGTGGCATTTTCGAAAATCAGCTTTAAGCACAAGTAAATTCAAGTTAAAGGTAATTTCACGAAGTTAAATTTACATTCCTACTTTAAATGTATCATGTATTATACTGGTTTATTATTTTCTTCGATTTATTGTCAGTAATCATTACCTTATATTCTGAGTTTAAGACGGTCATAACTCCGTGACCGTCCAAAATCGGACATATGTTTATATGAACTTTCTTGATCACAAAGACCTAGGAAATCACCTCCTACAGTTATGCCCTAAAGTCGTGAAACACCCTGTATATATCACCTATTTTAAAACATATGCAAGACCTCGACATTCTTGGTGACTGCACACACCAAAACACGAACACTACTTTGGGTTCCACGTTCATTCAAGTCAAAGTCAAAGTAAAAATTATGTTACGACCGACAGTCAGTCGGCCAGTCTGTCTTGGAATAAAGCATCCACCTGCGTCTTAAGACCTTTATTACTGTCACAGAGCTGCAGATTTGTTGATGTGGGGTCCTCTCTCTGACGAGAGGACGGGTCTGTTGTTTGCCAGGGTCAAAATCAGCACCAATAAGTGTTGTCAGTCCGTACAATTTACATTTTACATGTTATTAAATGTATGTATATACAACATATACAAGGCCTCTGCCAGTCCAGGCTCAGTACAGCAGATCATGTGCTATCATCAGCAGTTCCTGCTACAACAGCAGTCTAGTCACTTGAACGGTTGTATGCTTGACTGCCACCAAGATTAAGCCTCTTATATTTCCTGTGTTGGGGTTTGCCTTGCCCAATGCTGCAAACATTTGCATTTTCATGATTTATATTTGTTCAAAATGAAGAATTGTATATTTGTAAGCAGATTTATAGGGTGAACAAAAAATGTTTTGCCAAACTTTGGGATATAGTTCCACACACTGAAACAATGAAAAAAAAGTCAGTATCAACATGAGTCTTGAATAGGTGCATTTCTTAGGTTCTTCGCATTTTAGACAGTCTGAGGACAACAGCCTGGCTAGCATATCTCAAGTTATTCTGAATGCTGCTGAACAAGCAAACCGGACTTTCACTGAGATCTCTAGTCATAGCAACAAAACTTACTAAATTTTGCACTTATCAGCTGATACTGTTATGGCAACACACATAACAGAAAGTTACAAGTCAAGTGATGACATTATGTTCCTTAAGCCATCACTGTGGTAATACACAAAACTGAATGAGAAGTAAAGTAAATAAAAAGTACATTACCTATGTCCAATCCTAGCTCCCATGTTACAGCAGTTGGCAACAATAAAGCCAGCTCCACCAAAAGCTTTCGTCAGCACCCAGGACACTACTAGAAATGATACTGACAGTATTGCCATTACATAGTTATACCTGCAAATATCAACTAAATTAATTACATTGCAATCAATGCAACATGGTCTATTTTGTAAGACAGAATGAGGTTCTACCAATAGAATCAAGCCATATTTTTGTGTTGAAGTCTAATTCATTTATACAGAGTTCTATGTACAACATATTGGCTATAATCCAATGCACTAACATAAATCCATGAAAAGAGTATGTCTGTTAACTGTACACTCATTTATCAAATTACTGATTTCTATCAGCTCTCAGAACATATCTGACCAACGTTTTGTACCACTTTTGGTAACTCATGCTCCTAACCCTCCCATTCATCTATGGCTTGTCATGCCTCTCAAAGAGGCTGACAAATCCTAAATTGGTGTTTGACGTCCTCTCTGCAATGTAGTTGAGATCATTTTCAATTGAATAATGATAGTTTCTATCCAGGCTCTTTCCTGGTCCTCTCACTATAGTAATATGATCTTGCTTGGTAAGGCTTTTACCAAGCTTCCCTATATCCTCTACGACCATTGCAAGAGGAGATACATTTATCTCCAGCTTGTAACAATCCAAGAGGCACTTCTGCTTAAAGATATAAATTCATACAATAAGTTCTCTTTTATGTTGTGCTAGATTCTGAATGTATTTCTGCTGCAATCATGAAAGAAAACAAGGATTTCTAATTACTACTCAATGGCATGTAATTTTTTTCTCACTTGAATGCAGCTGGTTATGAGTATGAGCTAACACATCATAATCGTTAGGAACCAAAAACCAATTTATAAAAACTACTTAACACTATCTACATTTACACAAGAACTACTTCCTTAGAGCAGAGAACATGTATAACATGAGCAATATGCATAAACTGATAACATTTTACAGACTTATTAGCAACTCACTTATCAAGCTGACTTGTGTTCATGGTTGCAAACGCATAGCACTCTGTAATTCCATTAATGCCAAGTAGGAGGACAGCTAGGCAATGTGTCCGCATTAGTGTGGGACCAGGACCCATGATGAGAGATTCACCACCATAGAGGTACAGCAAGAGATGTGAATATGACTGGCCAAATACCACTATCACCAGCCCAATACAAGTTATGCAGCGGAGCAACTGGTACAGCACATTAGCAGACTCTGCCATGTGTTTCTGTGAATGAAATTGAATGTGTCAACGATGTTTGCTGTCTGCAGTTCTTGATAAAAATAATTTAAGAAGAAAACATACCTCTTTCAACTACATATGTCCACATTTGCTGCAAGACTTGTGGTGACAATGATGGATGCCAACATGTTTAAGGATGTCCTTTAAGTTGTAGGAATAGGGTAAGACTCCCTAAGTACTGCAGGCTAAAATATGTCTACTGTGACTAACAATTAGTACAGAGCTTTTGATGGAATGTTACTTAATAGAATGACCATTGAATGTGAAGGTAATGCATAAAACTGACCTTGAAATTCTAACTCAGCATTCAAATAGAGGGGCTGAAATAAATAAATGAAATCTCAGTCAAATAACCACATCTTAGGATCTCATTACATTACATGAGTATGAAGCAAAAACAAAGTTGGGTGAGTCATGACAGCATACAAAATATTAAGGAAATTGATATGAAACTACATGCAATATAATCCTGAATGAGTATCAGTATACATGAAACATCTGAAAACAAACACCAACAAACAATACAGGGCAGACTGCACATTAACCAATAGCAAAGGAAAGGAAAACAGATACAATACAGCAGGCGCTATATATACGATGGGGTACCCAAAAGAAACCGAACTAATTTTTTTGTGGTCAGAGCTTTTGTAGTACCGCGTTTTGCCGCTATGAGCGCATAGAGCTAACATTCCTGAGTCAATAAGCCGACTACCGTTGCTTCAGAAGGTAAGGACTAGTTTCGGCAGAGTTTATAGTGACAACTGTCTTGTGTGATCGTCGTTTTTGCAATGGCCCTACCACATGAAAATGTTGAAAAAATTCGTGAAATCATCAAGGAAGATCGACGACGGACCATTGAAGAAACTGTGGAGCTGTCGGGAGTGACTTGGAGCTCAGTTCAGCGAATTTTGACAGAAGATTTGGGAATGAAAAGGGAGGCTGCAAAATTCGTGCCACGACTGCTGACTGCTGAACAAAAACAAGGGCGCGTGGAAGCATGCTGTGCTTTGAAAGAAGAGTCCCGAAATGATCAAAACTTTTTTCAGCGTTTTGCTGATGTTCCTGAGATGAAGGAAAAAAATGATGGAGACGCTGTCAAGCATCTCAAAAGATGAATTTAGACAATGTTTTGAAAAATGGAATAAAAGACTAGACAAGTGTATTAGTGTAAGTGGAGAGTACTTTGAAGGGGATTTAAGGTTTGTGCTTAAAATTTGAATAAATAAGTTTAAAAAAAAATAAGTTCGGTTTCTTTTGGGTACCCCCTCGTATACATGGTGCAATCCAAAAGTTCCCGAAATTTGAATTTTGCACGCCAGTGTTTATGAGTACATTAAAATACTGCTAGGTGTAGCCCCCACACCCTTCTTGAATCAGTGTGGCAAGCGGCATCAAGTTTGGTGGTTGGGTTTATTGTTGGTGAACGTATTTCCATTGTTGTGTTTCCGTGAGTTTGCGGTTCTGCGATAGCTGACCTGAGAGAGCAGCATGTCTGTATAAAGTTTTGTTTTAACTTGGGAAAACCGCTGCAAAAACGCACCAAATGTTGAAGCAAGCTTTTGGTGGCAGCAGTTTAGGCCACACACAAACTTACAACTGGTATAAGCGTTTCAAAAATGTCCGAACATCGACTGATGATGACGATCGTTTGGGACGCCCGCCAACTGGCACCACAGCAGAAAGTATCAAGAAAGTTAGGGATCTGATTCTGCAAGATCGTAGACTGACCATCCAAGACCTCTGTAACACCTTGGGACTAAGTTATGGTACATGTCAACGAATTTTGTCAGAGGAACTGGACATAAGGAGGACCGCGGTGAAGTTTGTACCATGACTGCTGCAAAATGAACATAAGCAGCATCACTTGGAAGACTGCAGGGAACTTCAACAACAGCGTCAAGAGGATCCAAACTTTCTTTCGAAGGTTGTCCCTGGTGACGAAAGTTGGTTTTATAGCTACGACCCTGAAAGTAAGCAGCATTCATCGCAATGGAAGAGCCTTTCTTCACCTTGGCCGAAAAAAAGCTCAACGAGTCAAGAGCAACATTAAGTCCATGTTGATCTGTTTTTCTTTTTCGATATTGACAGGATTGTTCACGAGGAGTTAGTCCCTCCTGGACAAACAGTCAATAAAGAGTTCTATCGCGATGTTCTAAGGCATTTGAGGGAGGACATGAGGAGGTAGATTATAATCTAGTGCCCTCTTAGGACATAATAGAAACGATCATGCAGGAACACTCACACACCCTCAAAGAAATGCATCTTGAACATGAAGTGTGATGGTTGGAACCAAGTACCTCTAAGCAGTTAAGTTGTGTATATTCGGGGATTATTTCTTCCACAGTGGGGTGTTGTAGAATGCATCCAGGAGCAGATTGAGGACATTATTTCCCCCACAGTGGGGTATTAAAGAATACCCAGGGGCAGATTTCAGGGGAAGGGATCATGGCAGTTGCACCAGGGCTCAACAAAACAGAAGTAGAATTTACTACTTCTGGGGCACTTGTTTCTTTAACATCAAAGAAATTTAGTTCATAAAAGAAAAGTAAAGTTATCCCTGTAAGAGGCTGTGAAGGTCCATGGGGTTGTGTGATGTTGAGGGTCCCATATTATTTAGACAATCGGCTCAAAGATGGTGGTAAGGTTGTCAGCCCTACGCGGCCACCGCACATTACTTAACTTCAAACATATACGTGTATTTAGGCCTATCATGCAACTTTCATAAATTTTCAGTAGTTGAATGATTACTGTCACATTGTCATATTTCACTTCTTTGTTCAAGTTATCATATGAAATGTTTTGCCCACCTTCAGGTACATACGCCACAAGATGTTTCACACTACTTTCCTCTTACTGAGTAAAGATCTAAATAGAATAAAAATTGAAAGTTAATAGAATTTTTTGGGTTAAAACTATAATAAAAACTGAAGTAGATAATTAATCAAAATATTCCTTTGGAGGTTGAATACTACAGTGCACTCAGTTATCTGTTTCTTGTTTGTTGGGTGTTTGTGATGGTGAATAAAAGGTGCCTTCCAGAGATCCGGTAAAGTGTGCACACAATGAAGTAAACAAATTACTAAATCTTCAGAATGCACCTATTATTCACAATCATCAACCCACAAATAAGATACACTGACAATTGAACACACAATCAGTGCACTTAGAAGGGGGGGGGAGACCCCCCCCATACACACACACAATAAGAACAACAATGACAACAACAACAACTGGATCCTTTATCTACTTCAATTTTCATCATATTTAACTTTACTTTTTAATTTCAGTTAGTGCTTTACCTGATAAAACAACTTAGACACATAATACACCTGAAGATGGCCATTTATGGTTGAAATATTTTGTACGTAGTGCGTTCAAGTTCTAAGGTCTCCGATTTTTTCTCACACAATAATCATACAAACATTTTAAACTTCTGTCACTTTTCAACGTAATCTCCCTGCAGCCATACACATTTTTCACAACGTCGGCGCCATGATTCCATGGCCACTGCAAACGCTTCTGTTGGAGTCTGTTTTGACCACCAGAAAATTACTGATGCAATAGCAGCACGACTGGTGACTGTGCGACCACAGAGTGTCTTTCATCGTTGGGCAAAGCCAAAAATCGCTAGGAGCCAGGTCAGGTGAGCAGAGAGCATGAGAAACCATTTCAAGGTTGTTTTCATGAAGAAACTGCTGCGTCATGTACGCCCGATGCGCAGGTGCATTGTCCTGGTGAAAGAGCACGTGCAGCCTTTTCCGGCCGTTTTTCTCACAGTGCTGGAAGGAGCTTGTTCTTCAGAACATCTTGGTAGGATGCACCTGTCACCGTAGTGCCCTTTGGAACTCAATGAGTAAGGATTACGCCATCGCTGTCCCAAAACATGGCCACCATCATTTTTTCAGCACTGGCGCTTACCCGAAATTTTTTTGGTGGCGGTGAGTCTGTGTACTTCCATTGAGCTGACTGGCGCTTCGTTTTAGGATTGAAAAACAACATCCATGTCTCATCCATTGTCACAGTTGATGAAAAGAAAGTCCCATTTATGTCTTCATCACGTGTCAACATCGCCTGGCAAATTGCCATGCCCGCAGCCTTGTGGTCAGCCGCCAGCATTCGTGGCACCCACCTGGAGTACACTTTCCGCATTCGCAGGTCTTCATGCAGGATTGTGTGCACAGATCCCATGGAAATTCCAACTTTGGAGGCAATGTTTTCCGCACTCAATCAGTGATCCTCCAAAACAACTTTCTCAACTCGCTCGACCATGTTCTCAGACCGGCTGGTGCAAGGCCGAGATTGTTTTGGTTGGTTGTCACACGACGTTCGGCCTTCTTTGAACTGTCGCACCCATGAATGCACATTTTTCACATTCATGACACAATCACCACATGTCTCACTCAACTGGCGATGCATCTCAATGGGTGTCGCACCATTCAAGTGGAGAAAATGAACGATTACTCGCTGTTCTTGTAAAGAAAACATCACCATTTTTGGCATCAAAAACACTCCTCACACTTGCCGCCGCCACTAGAGTTTTGTGTGCCGTACAGTGCTGCCATCTCTGTCACACATTCACAAAGAGTGCGCATGTATTTTAAACTAAACCGCATGTGTCTATCTGCTCCCACTCCTGAGAAAAAAAATCAGAGAACTTAGAACTTGAACGCCCCTCATATTAATAATGTGAATTAATTAATGAAATGAAATCAAATAAGTAAAATAGGAGTATGGCAGTAGCCATGCAACTAATACACATTTATAAAAACTGCATAAGAGAAATAAATTATGAAATAATAAATCAATCCAACAGGATGCTTAAATATTACATTACATATCAAGCATTTGTCACTTCTTCAGTCTTACTCACTTTCTGCCCCTTCAGCAGTAAACCACTGTATGATAATGCTACCTCCCAGTCTTTGCATTTGTACCTTGCTCTATAATGCTCAATTTATAGCATACAACATTGATTTTGTTTAAAAAGAGAGGCAACAATACACAACAGGTAGCAAGACTCATTCATTTTTTACAGTTCTGGCAGTTTTTGAGGGTTTATTTAATGGCCTGTTTTCAATTTTGTGAAACTTCAAAATCAACTTGGAATCTTCATCCCAGAAATACTGTCGCTCTTTTTTTCTTTTAATTTTTGTATGTGAAGAGTAAGGAGTAACTAAGGCAACACATGATCTTGGCCAGACTTGACACTAACATGGTCACTAAGCATTGAACTTTAAATATGCATCATGTTACAAGTCACTGTAGTCACTCGTCGTCGTCGTCGTCGTCGTCGTCGTCGTCGTC